AGAGCCATTATGTAGGAGGAATACTTAGCATTCTTCTGTTGATAAAGGTCCCAACCAGCTAAAACTATTCACCTTTTCCTCTAATATCGCTCTTGGAGAAATGACAGAAATGATGCTACTTAAGACCCTAGTATGGAGCCCTGGTGGCAAAGTGGTTAAGCGCTGAGCTGCTAACCAAAAGGTCAGCAGTTCGAACCCACCAGCTGGTCCTCAGGAGAAATATGTGGCAGTCTGCTTCCGGAAAGATTTACAGCCTTGGAAACCCTATGCGGCAGTTCTATCCTGTCCTATAGGGTTACTATGACTCGAAGTAGACTCGTTGGCAATGGGTTTGATTTTTGGCTTTTGGAAGACACTAGTATAGTGGGCCACATAAAAGCAAATACTTGATATATGTGAATATATAAAAAAGTTAAATTTATTAAATTTCAGATACTTATTAGGACCACCTTTATACTGTATAGGAGCCAATATCTTACATTTAATATACTTTTAAAATTAGTTTCAAAGTATGTTTCTGTTGTCTAGTTAAAAATGATGCAAATCAGAACTGATAATTTATCCATTGCCTTGTTTTATTTCATATCTGTAGTTCATTTTACTGTGCCCAGTAAACTGTTTCAATAACTGCTTTGCTTCTGCTAGTATTAAAAAATACATAAAAATGTGGTGTATACGTATAAACGGAATATCATTCAGCCATAAAGAGAAATGAAGTCCTGATACATGCTACGACATGGATGAACCTTGAAAACATCATGCTGAGTGAAAGAAGTCAGACACAAAAGAAGAAATATTGTATGCTCTCACAGGAAATATCTAGAATAGGCAAATGCATAGCGATAAAAGTTCATTAGTGTTTATCAGCGGTGAGTGGGAGGGGTACTTAAGGGGCACTGAGTTTCTGTTAAGGGTGATGAAAACGTGGAAACGGATAGTGGTGATGGTTGTACAACATGGTAAACATAATGAATTGTTCATGTAAAAATGGTTGAAATGGTAAATGTTTCATTACATATATTTTATCACAATAAAAATCTAAAATATATAAATATATATTAAAACTTTTAGTTAAATAAATAAATATAATAAATTAAATCTAAATAATTTTAGACATTAAAAAGAGTTGCAAAGATAATACAGTGAGACAGAGAGTTTGTGTGTAACAATGGGGCAATACTGCCCCCACCACCCCCGGCGGGAGGATATTTGAAAATGTATCGAGACATTGTTGGTTTTTAAAACTGGGGCAGTGGAGGGGTGGCGGAAAGGGAGGTGATACTGGCATTTAGTGGGTAAAGGCCAGGATGCTGATAAGTATCCTACAATGCCCAGGACAGCAAAGGATGATCTGGCCCCAAACGTCAGTAGTGCTGAAGTTGAGAAACCCTGCTCTAGACCCTTCACCCCACTTCCCCTAGTGTTATTATCTTGCATAACCAGGATAAATTTATCAAAACTAAGAAATTAACATTGGTTCAGTACTATTAACGAAACTTCAGACTTTATTTAAATTTCACCACTTTTTTTCAGTAATGTCCTTTTTCTGACCCAGCAGTCTCCCCTAGTCTGTAACAGTTTCAGCATCTTTTCTTGTTTTTCATGACACGGACACTTTTGAAAAGTGCTGGTCAGAAGTCAAAAGTAAAAGTCCTCAATTTGATTTAGTCTGATGTTTTCTCATACTTTAGACTGAAGATACATATTTTGGGGGAGGGAAATCACAGAGGTGAAGAGGCTTTCTCAGCATATCATATCAGGGGGACAGGATGTTAACATGAGATCACTGCTGATGTTAATCTTCATTCCTTGGATTAGGTGTTATCTGCTAGTTTCCTCTTCCTCCTCTATTTCTTAGAAACAAATCTCTAAATCCTTATATTCAAGGTGAGGGCGAATAACTTCACCCCCTGAAAAGAGGAGGGTCAAGGAATTTGTGGACCTAGGTTACTGTGTTACGAAATTTTCATAAAACTTTATAATATTAATTGACAGCTGAGAAATAAGTCTTGTATAAAGATGCTTTGTTGTTAAATGCTGGTGAAAACCTACATCAAATAAACAGGGCAGCATTTCAAAGAATTTCAAGGAATTAATCATTTCCTAAACTCTAAAGCCCTTCAAAAGAGAAAACTTGTAAAGGTAAAATGATTCTTTAAAAACCAGTTGCCAAGGAGCTGACTCCGACTGAAGGAGTAATACAAAGCATGCATGAGTAGAATGAATGAATGAATACATATATACGGACATACCAGTTTCTTGTGTAAAGTAACTATATGTCACTGTTACACATACACAATTTTTGGTAAGGAATAGGCAAGTGGAGCTAAAAATAAATGTTAAGAATTTAGAAGTGGCTCTCACCTGGGTGTGGTACTGTCCTCCTTGCTCGCCCCCAGGAGCATTTGGAAATGGGGAGGGGGGATTGTGTTTTGGGCTATATCAGCGACAGCAGAGTGCTTGAGGAAATTAGAGGGTGGGGAGGTGCAAGACTCAGGACAGTCCCACCTGACAAGGACTTTCCCATCCAAAATGTCAACAACCCCCGCATGAGACACGTAGGACCCGATCCCCAATTTGTGCCTCATTTACAGTGAATGACTTGTGTCAAGCCCAGGAGTCGCTGAGTGGAAAACTTCAGAATAAAGCTAGATTTTTAGAGTTTCGGTTCAGAACTCTTTGCATTTAACAGTGATTGTTTCCCGCGAAAAGATACACTTTAGGTCAATATGTTTAGCAACGATTTTAGTGTTCTGGGAATCTTTATTTCTAAGTAGATAAAATGTCTTCATTTTGTTTGTTGAGTTGCTACATCGCAGTATGAGGAACACTGCATACATCTGAAGGACAGGAATTTATAGTGAAGGATAGCATAGCTCCGTGACAATGGGGACAGAGGAAAGGATTTGGGGCCTCAGTTTGCCTGATTTATTTTTCCTTATAGCACTAATTCCCACCTGGCAAAGAATGTATTTATTTACTTGTTTCTCTTCTGTCTCCACCCTCTTAGAAAGCAAGCTCCATGAGAAAAGGGACTTGGCTTTCCTTGCAGCTTGTACCCTCTGACTCTAACAAGGGGAATGTGATGAGATTCTGTGCGAACCATATTTAATGATAAGGTTGCTACCAGTCAGAATCGGCTCAATGGCAACGGTTATGGTGGGAAAGAACAATACATGCAAATGACCTTTACCTGCTTTCTGGCCTCCTCTATTATGCCAAAATATTATTTTGTAGTTATTTAATTTATAATAAATGGAAATGTGCTACATATAACATTCTATTTCCAATCTTTTTCATTTAACAGTATGTTTTTGAAATTTATCCTTAAAAAAAAATTAGCTCTCATTCAGTGATTTCCACTGCCCTTCAGGGGATATTTGGTAATGTCTGGAGATATTCTGGTTGCTACACCTGGCAGTGGTCCTGATGCCATCTAGTGAGTAGAGGCCAGGGATGCTGCTAAGTGTCCCATAAGTGCAGGACAGCCCCCACAACATAGAACTATCTGGCCCAAAAGTGTTGATAGTGTCAAGGTTGAGAAAGCCTAGCCTAGGGAACAGCATTCCATGATAGCATATGCCACATTTACTTTATCCATTCCCTTGTTGATGGACATTTAGGTTGTTCCAATTCTCTGCTATGGCAAATGATGCTGCAATCAACATCTTCTCCAATATCTCACTGTGTGTGCAAGAGTCTCTCAGTTCTAGGAGACACTTCCAAAGGACTCTCCTGACACCTGGGCCCATGGACACTCTCACACTCCTGCATGACATTTCAACTTCCTGCATCCTTACCAGCACTGGATGCTATTTATTTTTTTTCTTTTTCTTTCTTTCTTTTTTTTTTTTTACCAATATAAAGAGTATGAAGTGGTAGTTCATTTTTAAAAGGTTGCATTTTCTGACTATTAATAAGGCTGGGCAACCTGAATAATTCATACCCCAAAGCATTCTCTACAAAAGTGTAGAGGGTATTTTTGCCGAGCACATGCCACTTCATATTGGTCATTTTTATATCTTTGATTTGCATTATAAAACCACATATTTTGAGAGACCAAGAAATTGTTTCTGCCAAAAGAGGTCACTGTCCCTCAGAAGATCTCCACCACTGTGATTTTTGCCCACCCCGCCCCATCTCTCAGGGGATATTCATCAATGCCTGGAGACATTTTGGTTGTCACAACTGTAGGTGTGCTACTGGTATCTAGTGGGTAAAGGCCAAGGATGAGGCTAAACAGCCTACAGTGCACAGGACAGCCCCTGACAACAAAGAATAATCTGGCCCCAAATATCAATAGTGCCATGGTGGACAAATCCTGCTGTAGATGATATCTTAATATGTGAGACTTTGAAAGACAGAATATAAAACTCTCCATGAAAATAAAGCTGCCTCTTATTACTGTTATTATTTAGAATATAAATAACTTTTTATTTATAATAACTGGTCAAATAGGGGAGGTGGGGAAGGAAGCATGCCTTCCTGGCAAATACGCTCGCAGGAAAAGGCAGGGAGGAATTCTGGGAAGATGGAGGCATAAGTAGATCTAAGATCCTAACCCTCCCCACAAGAACACCAATCGAATCAACTAGATCCCTACATTCAGCCCTGTAGGAAATCTGAAATGGTAGACAAGGAACGGTAAACTGAAAAAGAGAAGGACGACTCATACGGTAGGAAAAGCTCTTCTTCACTGGTGCAGCAGAGGGAAGCCTCCAATGACCCAGCAGCCACTCCACACCACCAGCCAACACACGGATCTCTTGGGCACTGGGAAGGGCCCCAACCTCTGGCTCTGAAACTAATAGACAGACTGTTCAGGGTGACCACACCTCTCCTTTTGGACATGGCAGAGACAGCAGGGACTGCAGCCCTAGTTGACCCACAGCTCTCCTGTGCTCAGGGAAGGGGCCGCATTTCTGGCTCTGAAATAAATAGAACAGATCTTGTTAGTGGACAGTTTAGGAAGCATATTCTGACTGGACTGGAGGCAGCCTGAAAGATTGAAATTGCAGTCTGGCCAGACACAGACCCCTCACAGGGTGGGGGAAGGCATGACAACTCAGGATTGAGGGCTATACCTACCTTAGGGTGGTCTATTCAGTGTGTGCTTTCTCATCAGTCTGGGAGCTGATTGGCGAATGTCTTCTGATGTGTCTGGGAGCCACTAAAGGACTGACACTTGGGTCTGGTCTGAACTGGTGCTATCATAGGGAGGGAGACAGAGTGGTAAGCAAAGTCTGAACACTGTGCCTGCCTAAAAATTTCTTGCAAGAATTAGTGCTGTTGACTGAGGGTCCAACTCTGGGCAGCCGAAGAGTGGTAGGTAACAGTTGTCAGTGCAAGGGTCATTTTGTCACTGGGAAAGGATGACCCTCACCTGTGGTGATGGTGGTTAGCAAGATGAACAAAGATGCGCAGATGAGAGCAGCAATTAACCAAAAGTTGACAGAAACTGGAGAAAGAGAGTGCCTCAAAGAATTGCTGAGAGTGAAATTAATTGAATGTGGCTGGAAGGATCAATTGAAAGCACACTGTAAAGAGGTAATTAAAGAAAAAGGACTACACATTACTGTTGATGACTTGGTGGCTGAAATCACCCCAAAAGGCAGAGCCCAGGTACTTGCTGACACTGTAAAGAAGGAGCTCCTACAAAGAAGAAGAAAATTCCTTGCTCAGCATGCCAGTCTTTAAGATTGAATTAGATCGTGTTGTTCTGTGGTTTTATTTCTGAAAGTGAAACTTGCCATAAATCAGAAATCAATTGCCCAAAAATAAAATCCTCGTTTGTATGATGGTATACAGTTTTCAGTAATGATGTGTACCTTGTATTGATTTTTTTCCCTAAATGTGTTATTTTAATAAACGTCTCATGAATAATAATTATAAAAAAAGAATTAGTACTGTCAAAAGCAATGTACATTAGGGGAAATTGAGAAAGATTATATGTTGTAAAATTCTAATGTTCCAGCTTCAACAAAAAGAAAAATCACAAGGCACACAAAGAAACTGAAAATGATGACCCATTAAAGTGAACAAGACAAAGGGAGAGAAATTATATTCATGGAAGCCAGAATAATGAAAAGATTAGAAGAATATAATAGAAGAATATTAAACAAGCTCAAAGAATTAAAGGAAAACAAAGTACTAAAGGAAATCAGGAAAATGATGCATGAACATGAGAATATAAAGAGATGTTGCTGTTGTTGTTGTTAGCTGCTGTCAAGTCAACCCCTGACTCATGGCAACCCCATGCACAACAGAATGAAACACTGCCCAGTCCTGCGCCATAGGCCTTTCTTCCTAGTCCATCTTAGTCTGGAAGCTCCACCGAACCCTGTTCAGCATCACAGCAACACAAAGCCTCCACTGACAAGACAGGTGGTGGCTTCCCATGAGGTGCACTGGCTGGGATTCAAACTGGGTCTCCTGCATGGAAGGCAAGAATTCTATCACTGAACCATCACTGCCCACCCCCACCCCCACAAAATACAGAGATAGACACTATAAAAAAAAATAAGAAATACTGGAACTGAAAGACACACAATAACTAAAATAAAAAACACATTGGAAGGATTTAAAAAAATATTTGAGCTGGCAGAAGAAGGAATCAATGATCCAGAGGATAAGGTAACTGAAATTATGAACACTGAAGAGCCTCAGAGATCTTTCTCCTCAGAAACCTTGGAGGCTGTAAGGCCATGGAATGACATATTTAAAGTGCTGAAAGAAAAGAGTTGTCAGCCAAGAATACTATATCCAGCAAAGCTGTCCTTCAAGAATGAGTGCTAAATTAAGATATTTCCAGATAAACAAAATCTGACAGAGTTCATATCCACTAGACAGGCCCTACAAAAATGCTAAAGGAAGTCCTTCATATGGAAAAGAAAGAACACTAGAAAGTAACTCGAAGGCATACATAAAGAGAAAGATTTCCATTAAAGTCTCAGGCCAAACTATTTTTTAGCCTTGCCTATTTAGTACTGCTGCTTTCAGACCTCTGACTCATGGGCAGTGGCTGGCTCCACCAGTTTTCCACCCCAGGTCCCACATGCTTCCAAATGTGCACATTTTGAATCAATGATGTGAAGGAGGATTCCAGATAAAGTGAACCTTCTCACTGCCTGCACAGGCTCGCTATGGCTCCCCTCACACCCCAGTCTTGGGGGCCAGTCGAAATGCTGTATCCTCAAATGAAAAGGAATCCTGCCCAGGACCTTGTTGTCAGGGGTACCAGAGATAAGCCCCCTGCCCAGAAAATTATCTATCTCCTACTCCCTACAAGGGGATTCTGCGTGGTTAAAAATTGGAAAAGGTATGAGGCAGGGTTGTATCCTTTTATTTTACTTATTCAGTCTGTATGCTGAATAAATAATCTGAGAAGCTGGACTATATGAAGAAGAACATGGCATCAGGATTGAAGGAAGACTCATTAACAACCTGCAATATGCAGACGATACAACCTTGCTTGCCGAAAATGAAGATGACTTGAAGCACTTACTGATGAAGGTTAAAGACTATATAGCCTTCAGTATGGATTACATCTGAACTTAATGAAAATAAAAATCCTCACAATTGGATGAATAAACAACACTATGATAAATGAAGAAGAAATAAGTTGTCAATAATTATTCCACTTGTATCAACAATCAACGCCCATGCAAGCAGCAGTCAAGAAATCAAACGATGTATTGCAGTGGGAAAATCTGCTGCAAAAGATCTCTTTGAAGTGTTGAAAAGCAAAGTGATGACTAAGGAGCACCTGACCCAAGCCATGCTCTTTTCAATCACCTCATATGCATGCAAAAGCTGGACAAGGAAAAAGGAAGACAGAAGAAGTGATACATTTGAACGGTGGTGTTGGTGAAGAATATTAAATATACCATGGACTGCCAGAAGAACAAACGAATCAGCCTTAAAAGAAGTACAACCAGAATGCTCCTTAGAAGTGAGGATGGCAAGACTTCGGCTCACTTACTTTCGACATATCATCAAGAACGACCAATAGCTAGAAAAGAACATCATAGTTAGCAGAGGGTCAGTGAAAATGAGGGAACCCCTCAATAAAATGGATTGACATAATAACGGAAACAACGGACTCAAGCATACTAACAATCATAAACAAGGGTGGATTAACCAGTAAGCATGGTATGCACCAGCTTGCATTGAGCAAGGTACGCACAGGCTTAATTTTTACTTGCTAATGCTGTGGCGAGCAGTTTCACATGGGTTTCACTACATCTTTGACGTAGTGGGGGACAGGTGAAACTGTGCACTGCAGATTGGGCCTGTGCTTATTGGGTAATCTGGCCCTGATCATGAAGATGGCGCAGGATCCGACAATGTTTCATTCTGTTACACATAAGGTCACCATAAGTTGGAGCTGACTCTACGGTAACTAACAACAACTCTCTACAATGTCAACGTGGAAACCACTGATGAATTATATTTTTTGAGCTCTCCTGGTACAGCTGGAAAAAAAAAAAAGCCACATTACTGAATACCATGACAACACACCTGCCTTATATAGTCATAATAATAAAAGATAATGCATATATATCACCCCCCCCCCCAAAAAAAAAAGAGCAGGGAGGGCTGGGCAGGCAGGGGGAAGGCAAGGGTTTTGATATATTATATACGGTATCTAACCAGCGTGGAGCATAGAATAGTCCTTCATGTCCCAAAGCATTCTGCCTGGTCTCATCCTGCATCTGCCACAGAGATCTTTGGCTACCAGTTTCTTGGAAAAGAGAGGTACGGAGCCCTCAGGGTGACCACAACCTCCTTGGTAGCTCATCCAGAAATTTCGGGGTGCTGGATAGAGAGAAGTGGAAGGCTCTGGCAAGCACTGCTGAGCTCTAGATTGGGGTAGGGAATCTCCCTATTTATGGAGCCTCAAAGTGAATTTCAGTAAGGGGAGGGCAGAAGTAGCTGCAGTAAGTGAAGAAGGAGGGTGGGGACTTGGGGTCTCTTCAGTCTAGACAATATACTTCACTTGGTGGGCTCTGCAGGGTAAGGACAAGTGGGTTAGGAACTTGGCAGACCTGTTGGCTAGAGAGTACTTGCTGACCTGGTGGTGACACTGATGACCTGCTGGTGTCAATGTCCCACCTTGGGGTAGAGTAGGGGTCAGCAGGAGGAAAGAGCTGTGGGCTTGGGTCTCACGGGGTGGGTGGCAGGGCCTCTACTCTCAGGAGCCAAAGGGGCCAGCAGGCTGGTGTGCTCAGGGGCCAGCGGAGGCAGCCATCTTCACCACAGCAGGCTGGGCAGCAGAAGGGAACGACTGAGCGGCAGTCGAGGACCGTCCACTTGTCGCAGATGCTGCAGCTCCAGGAGCAGAGGCCTCCGTTCAGCAGGCCCCGCCTGGGCACGAAGGCACGGGCCACGCCATTCCTCACCACTGGCCTGAAAGCAGACGGCCTGGCCTCTGGGCTGCGCCTCCCTCTCTTGGCATTGGTGACCTCAAACCACAGGGGCCCGTCGACCTTCCTCTTCCCGTTGTTGCACTGGCCGAGGGCCCGCAGCATGGTCTCCTTGGCAAAGGGGTCCGGGTGCTGCTCAGACGGGGGGCGCATGGCATGGAGGGCGCCCGGGGCCTGAATGGCGGCGGGGCCCCCTCTGCGCTCTGAGGGCGCAATCTGGACTGTTACCGGGCTCCAGATACGGCTGGGGTTGCGGGCTGCCCACAGCCCACGCCTCAAGTAGGTCTCCCAGGCGCAGAAGAGGTCGGGCCCACTGAGGGTCTAGGGGGGCGGCTTGTTGGGGAAGCGCCTCCAGGCCTCAGGCACCAACACCTTCCGCAAATTGACATGCTCCTAGCCCGGTGTAATCTTGGGGAAGGGCTGGGCCCATCGCCAACGCCCAGGGTAGAGGTAATGGGTACAGCGCGGGGGCCCGGGTGGGCCTGGGTGGCTGGGATGAACACCCCTGGGCGGGGGGCGGCGACGCGGGCTTGGGCGGGTCCAGGTAGCTTCCTAGGTATTTCCCAGGAGGGCAGTGCGGTGGGGTCTGCAGCTTCGAGAAGGTTGAGCTTTGAGAAGTTCCCAGTGGCTGCAGCTGCGGCTGGAGGTGAAGCGCCCAGAGTTTGGATGACCATTGGCATCAGAGTGCAAGGACAGCGCGTGGGGCGTCGGGGCGCTCGGACACTCCGCTCGTGGGGCCCGGCGCGCGCCAAGGCAGTGCCCAGTGGACACCGTGGATAATA